CACGAAATGGTTGTCTGCCATTGCTTTCATGGAGGGAGGGGTGAGGCTGTACCCAGAACCACCCGCGACAATGTTTTTTGCCCCATCAGGCACTGGGATCTCAACCCAGAATTCCAATGGGCGGGAGAGACTGCGGGAACTATGGGATAGCTATGGGATAACTACCCACAGTGCAACGCTCCGGAAATCGACGCTAGCCCCGGTACATGGACGCACACCGCCGAATTAATGTGCTTACTGTGGCCGCATACATTCGACTTTATACAATCTGTTTCCAAAATTTGAATTCTGTAAATTCGGATTAATCCCGTAGTGTAGACATACCCAAAGAAAGATAATGAGTCTCAGAGATAAACTATGAGATTTGAGAAGTGTCTATTTTTCACATAACAGGTCTGTTATGAAAATCATAATTCACAAGGTACCCTTGAAACTGTGTTTTTACAGCTTAGTTTGCTCGTCTAATCTCTCTGTCAACTGGCTCCCACTAGATTTATATCTGATATCAAATACAGTCCTAAATTAAGATGAAAAATTCAGAGGTAAAATGTTCAGTGTTGTCTGATCATGAGACAAATCCAGGTCAAAATGAAGGAATGGGAAAAACAACTTAGATCCAGTGCCTTCTGACAAATACAAGTACTGGTCTGCTAACACAGTAGCATGAAATCAGTGCTTTGTGCTTTACAACTATTCATGTTTGCCTTTAAAAACGATCTCTAAGTTTGTTAAAATTTTTAAGCTAAAATTAAGGATGTTTTGCTTCTTTATGGGTCCATGAAAATTTGATTTCTCTGCCCCAATTGCTGGTGGTGAAAACTTTCATTCACTAAATTCTACCAGAACTGTCCTTCAAAGCCATAATATTTAAATGTGATTTCAGAAAACAACCTTTGCAAATAGACTACATTCACAATATTATTACAATATGTATGGTTGCTATTTAGGATGTAGCCAATTCATGTTGAAATTCAGAGAAAAAATTCTGAATTGCAATATATTAATTTTTCCTGGTAAGTGGGGTATCAAGTTAAAATTTATATTAACTTCTCTTTACCTCAGTGTTTCTCAAATTGGGGTCTCCGCTTGTGTAGGGAAAGCCCCTGGCAGGCCGGGCTGGTTTGTTTACCTGTCCCATCCGCAGGTCCGGCCGATCACGGGTGGCTCCCACTGGCCACACGCGGTTCGCCGCTGCAGGCCAATGAGAGCTACTGGAAGCGGCGGCCAGTATGTCCCTCGGCCTGCGCTGCTTTCAGCAGCCCCCATTGGCCCGGAGCAGCGAACTGCGGCCAGTGGGAGCCGCAATCGACCGGACTTGCAGATGGGGCAGGTAAACAAAGCGGCCCGGCCCGCCGGGGCTTTCCCTACACAAGCGGTGACCCCAGTTTGAGAAACACTGCTTAAACTAAACCTATATGTTAAGAAAAGTACACATAAAATACTTGAAAAGATGTATGAAGTCTAAAAACCTGTGGCTGAAATTTCTACAGGCCAGAATCTACCACCATGGCATTAAGTGGTACCTTAGTGCACTAGTCCCACTGAAAGCAATGGGATTACTTGCAGAGTAAATCCCCAGTCCTGCATTATGAGCCTGCATGGAAAAGCACCAGTGAAATCAATGGGATTCTGCCCTCAGAATCACAAGGCTTGGAGCTTAAGACACTACATGGTATTGGGAAGGCTCTGTCAGTAGCCCTAGACAATGTACAGCTTTTGCGGGATCTTTTTTCTAAATAAATACATCCTCTTTTCACATGTACTGTGATGGATTTGACACAGGTATATTTAGGATTAGATGGGCGTTTTGGGTGGTACGATGAAGGGCACAAATATAAACCAAATCTAAACACAGGGAAGAATTCTGTGCTGACTCAAACCCCATGTCAATCAATGGGGCAACAGAGGATGTAAATCAGTGCAACATTTGGCCCAAGGCCTTTCAGAACATTTTTCCTGAACATTTCAACAACAAACTATTTTTGCACAGACGCTATACACCGGAGAAAGCTATTTTTGAGGTGATTCATATCCTGATGTTCATAAATAATGTGATCATTTCTGCATTCAAATGTGAAACATTTCCACTGGGTCTAGAAGAAAAAATCCGCAGCATAGTGTACCTGTCCTAAAATATACTCATGGTTACTTGATTGAGCAATCAAACATGATTACACTCTGATAGAGTATCAGGGGGTAGCCGTGTTAGTCTGTATCTACAAAAACAACAAGGAGTCTGGTGGCACCTTAAAGACTAACAGATTTATTTGGGCATAAGCTACATTGGCCAAACCGGACAGTCCCTCCGCAAAAGAATAAATGGACACAAATCGGACGTCAGGAATGGTAACATACAAAAGCCAGTAAGTGAACACTTCAATCTCCCTGGTCATTCTATTACAGATTTAAAAGTCACTATCATTGAACAAAAAAACTTCAGAAACAGACTTCAAAGAGAAACAGCAGAACTAAAATTCATTTGCAAATTTAACACTATTAATCTGGGCTTGAATAGGCACTGGGAGTGGCTGGCTCATTTCAGAAGCAGCTTTTCCTCTTCTGGAATTGACACCTCCTCATCTGTTATTGGGAGTGGACTACATCCACCCTGATTGAATTGGCCCTGTCAACACTGGTTCTCCACTTGCGAAGTAACTCCCTTCTCTCCATGTGTCAGTATATAATGCCTGCATCTGTAACTTTCACTCTATGCATCTGAAGAAGTGAGGTTTTTACCCACGAAAGCTTATGCCCAAATAAATCTGTTAGTCTTTAAGGTACTCTGATAGAGAACACTCAATGGTTAGTTTTACACAGTTGTTTAAGGCCTTATTGTTGAAGTTGTTCACTGTCTAATGTAGTAGAGCTACTTACCACTACGGTGCTGGCATTGTATTATATTATAGCTGCTGGTTTCACAGAGTGAATTGCTAGAATCTGGCCCTCATGGTTTCACATTTTGATTACTGTAATGTCTCCCTTTCTGGCCTCCCTAACAATCACACTCCAGTTCATACAAAACATAGCAGCTAAGATCTTTTACCCTGCCCATCAGTCTGACTACATCTTTCCTGCCCCACCTTATGAATCTTCCATCTGACTCCCTGTTTTCCATCACAAGTTTAAATATCTTGTCTTCAAAGCCATTTACAACGTGTCCCTACTTTACTTTTATATCCTTGGCTCTATGTTTTCCCCCTCTGTTCAGTGAAGATCCTAGCCCTGCATGGCCATTAGTTTGCTATTCTCACAAATGTCTCCATTTTGCCCTCTACACATGGAACATCTCCCTCAGGTGATCCATAAGAATCATCTTGCTTCCTCTCATCTTGCAAATCCTTGCTTCTGACCCTCTTCTGTCCAGGGAGCTACAAGATATCAACCAACTACAGATGAACTAGGATGAATAACAATCAGGGATAGCTGATTGTACTTATTTGTTTATCATCTGTTATACTCTATGTTGCAGCTTGTTTCTGATTAGATTGTAAGCTCCCTGGGGCAGAGACAATGTATTCTTCTGTGTTTACAGCATCTACCACCATGTTGTCCTAAACCTACATGGGGCTGTTAAGTGTTACCAAAATAAAAACAAATAGTGATATTGACATAATAATCTTCTCAATTAAGTCCTGTGATCACTATTATGTTGGGGATGATGATTTTCTGTTAGGATTAGATCAAGGTTACAAAAAGTCAATTATTCATAAAGGCACATCATCTCTTTTCTCAGAACAAGAGAATGTTTGCAGCCAAAACTTTGTAAACTGGCAGGGAAGTTCCTCAGAGTCTAAGAACTGACAGGCAGCTTGCAAACAGATGGGAGAGCCCTGCTCTTTGTGAACTTTTGCCCTAGAAAGTTAGAAAGAGAGAGGGAAAAAAGAGAGAGAAGAAATGCTCATTAGTGAGGTGAACATTTGTTCTAAATTAAAATTTTCTTATTCAGTCACACATTTACAATGAGTTTTTAAAAATAAATTGAAATATTGCCAAATAGCCTAAAAATTATTCAGATACAGGCAAACAGGTGTCTTGGGAGCATGATTTGAACACTTTTGCTTTTTGTGTGCTAGAAGATTGTGTGAACAAATTTTAAAATATATTTTTGTAGTTACAAGCATCTAATTGGTATGATGGTGGCCTAGAATTTGGATTATGTCACAGATTGCATTAAAAAATGTGAACAAAACTTTCCTCCCTGCAGGTTTAGCCTCCAGTTTCAATTACAATTGGAAATTTATTTAAAAGAAATGCAAATTACCCGTTGGGTAGGAAAAGCACACGCTGCCTATTATCTTTACTCCAGTAGTATAACTTTGTGATTTAACTTTGTTATACTGGGAACTGTGATATTCTTAGAGTGTCTGGTCTTAGTGTGTTCCAAGTATAGCTGTAAGAGTTAAGAGCCATTGGGCCAAGCACTGTCCTCAATGATGCAACCTGGGGTTTGTGGAGTTGTAAGGGTGTAATGAGGCATTAAAATGTTGCTTTAACTTTCTGAAGAGTTGCACAGGATTTAGCTATATACAATAACCCCCTCTAAAGCCAGTGGGAGTCTTCTGACTCTGAGTTCCAAGCTCCAACCAAAGACCATCATGAGGGCCACCTCTGGTGATCCAGGTGACGATAGAATTCTAACCCTAATAACATTGATAATAGAGGCATAGGTAAGAATATATGTACATTACATTATTTTAAATATTTTTCTGGGTATGAAAAATATTTCTTCCTTCCTTCATACAGTATATAGGACTGTTTCCTCATTTTATCACTATTTACTGTGTTAGCCCAAAGTTTTAATTCTTAGAACTTGACTACACACACAGCTATGTTTTACACACTGGATAGTTTGTTTTCTAATTCAAATTAGTTACATTGATATGAACCCCTCAGTGAGTCCTCTAAAATTTGCACCAAACTTATATCTTTTTATTTTAGTTTGGTAATTTACCAAATTATTGTTATTGTTGTTGTTTGTGGGTTTCTAAAACTTTCATACACAAATCCCACCCCTTCTTCTCTTTGCCCCATTGCCCCAGCCCTCAGCTCCATGTCATGGCATGTCCATTTGGCTGATGAACTAAGAAAAGGTGACTGTTCCTCTCTTTGGAGGTTAGGAAAATCCCCCCAACATTGGACAAAGGGTTGCTGCACTTCCATGAAGGTTTGAGCATGCTTGCAAAAGTTTTTTGGTTTTTAAGTGGTTCAAAAAATCTACAGTAAACCTAGAAAACTCTTAGGCCTGGTCTACACTAACCCCCCAAGTCGAACTAAGGTACGCAACTTCAGCTACGTGAATAACGTAGCTGAAGTCGACATACCTTAGTTCGAACTTACCGTGGTTCAGACGCGGTCCACACGCGGCAGGCAGGCTCCCCGTCGACTCCGCGGTACTCCTCTCGCCGAGCTGGAGTACCGCAGTCGACGGCGAGCACTTCCTGGTTCGACTTATCGCGTCCAGACCAGACGCGATAAGTAGAACCCAGAACTTCGATCCCCAGCCGCCGAACTAGCGGCTGGGTGTAGACCAGCCCTTAGTGCAGGTCCTATACATGTTTGTTTTCTGCATCCTGTTATTTAGTGCACAATGCAGAATAAACATTGGACTGTTTCGTATAAAGGGAACTGTCCCATTTATATGAGAAGAATCACAGTTTGCACTATTGTCACCCCATTCATATCAAAAACAGCTTATAAATCTAATTAGATCTGAAATGCCTCCAAAAGTTAGTTGTGCAACAAATGTTGTCTCAGTAATATCATTTATTATCTTGTGCTTTCTCTTGTCTTAAATAGCCTTTATTGCTTAGCAGGTTGCAACTTACTAGTAGCAAGAATGCATTATTCAAGCCTTTCGCTGTGCCACAGCAAGTGACAGCGTGTCATGTTTTTAATTGTCTCCCTTGAACTCCACAGATACGATTCCTCCAACCATAACAAATTGCCCATGGGACATCACCATAACCACAGAGACTGATCCAGTACAGGTCAGCTGGGAACAACCTGAAATTAGCGACAACAGTGGGGTGTTTACCTCAGTAGCTTCAATATCCAGTGGCTCCTGTTTCCGGTATGGAACTCATCAAGTGCAATACACCGCCCATGATGAAGCAGGAAATGAAGCCTCCTGCCAGTTTAAAGTTACCATCAAAAGTAAGTGCTATTATTGACTGAAGTTTAAGAAAGAAAAACAATCAGGATCCTGAAAACTGTTATGAACCAGCTTTACGAATTTGAAGTAGAGCTGTTTGCTTTAATGCTACCTCTTTGGCAGTAATATTTCCTGTAAACAGTTGGATGTTCACCAAACCATGAATATTTTGCTGTTCATATCAAGTCCTATATACCAAGTGATATGATTATACTAGGTGTAATAAGAATTGTATCTTTCAAGTACGTTTTGTGGCCAGTGGGCCAGATCCTCCACTGGCCTCAATTGATAGGTCTTCATTAACACCAGGAAACAGTTGTGGCAACTGTGGAGTAACTGTTGGAAAATCTTTTTAATGACAACCACTATTTGCCTGAGACGTGAGCTAGAGTTAAGAAGTAGTCAGCCAAGCACTGAAATATTCAGAAAGCACTTGTTGTCTGACACTGATTCCCTGCAGCACTGATTTCCGAAAACGGTGCTTTCCAAAATGAAGTTAAAACTTGTAACACTCTTCCTGCTATTTCTCTATACCCATTAATAATGCCTTGTCTACACACACCAACTGTACTAATTTTAGCTGAGCTGTTTCAGAAACTGATGTACTTAAGTCAGTGCAGTCACCATTGTGTGAACAATCTTAAATTGGTTTGAGTGCTTTACATTGATTTAAGCTAAATTAATATAAGGCTTTCTCAACTGATTTAAAATTGTCCCCACAAGGGGGTTGCACCCCCTTTACTATATCAGTTTCTAATGATTTAGTTAAATTAGCACAATTTTTATGGGTAGAAAAGTCCTGGCATTTGAAAGATCCGGATGAAGATCAATGGCAAATGGATATACCAATTCTTTAGTCAGTAGGGTTTGGATTAAAAAAAAATAATAATTAGGACTTCTCTGAAATTAGCCAGGTTGTTTCTTTAGGTCTCATTTTAATTAAACTGCTCTATTTTAAGCAGAAAGATTTTTTGCTACCATTGATTAGCATTTTTAAATGAAAAGGAAAATGCAAGTGATACTTGAGTTAAGCCACAGTGCTGACAACTTGATTACTAGAGGTGGAAGAAAGAAGAAATAGAAAATTACTTTTCTTATTTGGGATCTCCTAGAAGCCATAATATAACAGCAAGATTCATCAACGTGGTGGGAGAAAGCATTAAAAACATTTACTGAATATCTGTGTTTTGTAATTATGTGAACAGTTTTACTGTACAAAACCCCACAATCATGTGTGTCATTTCTGCTGTGTCTACATTAAGGAATTTTTGTAAAAACTTCCTCACCAGAGACTAAATGCAGAACAGGCTTTGACAGGCTTAATTAAGGTGATCAAATACTAGCAATTGCTGGAACCTCATGGCTGGTGCTGGCACCAATGAGAGTTCTATTGTCAAATCTCCTAGTGTGGACACATATTACTGGTGTGTATTGTATAGTGCTATTATTCCTTTGCCATATTTTTAATATAAAAATAACATTCATAGAAGAGCACTCCCTTTTCCATAAATATTCCATACCTTACCTTTTCTTTCCCTTTTTTCCTTTTCACTATGGGATCTTCCCCATCTTCCATATAGCTACAGCTTGTACAGTATCTGTAGAATTTGATGAGACAGTTAAATACCCATGTCATTACAGAATGCTATACTTACCCCACAAATCACAGTAGGTGATGGATGCAAAAAATACACTAACTTTTGTAGGATTTAGTTTTCACAAGAAAACTGAAGCAGTTTAAATTATGGTCTAATACTATACTCAATAGTGATTTACTTAAAACTGGCGCAAAAGACTGTGTGGACATTCTTATTTCAGTTTACACTATGTTTATTTTGGATTATCTTAAATTGATTAGGAATTTGGTTTAAGCTAAATTGAAATAAGCCACTTTTAAACTGAAATAAGAGTCTCTACCCAGGGGTTTGCACTGTTTTAACTAAATGGATTTATAAACCAATCTAAGTTGAACTAGAGCAGGGGTTGGCAATGTTTGGCACGCAGCTCGCCAGGGTAAGCACCCTGGCAGGCCAGGCCAGTTTATTTACCCCCACTGGCCGCGGTTCGCCATCTCGGGCCAATGGGGCAGCTGGAAGCCGCACCGCGCCGCTCAGAGAGACAAGGTGGGTGAGGTAATATCTTTTATTGGGCCAACTTCTGTTGGTGAAAAACTCAGAAAAAGGCTCAAGTTTGGTTTGGGTAAATTTCAGATGAAGGTTGTGTTCTGTTTAAATTTTATTTGAACCAGTTCACAATTTCTACCAGCATTATTCCCCTGCAAAATCTGGTGTCGTTCTGTGCACATACATGACAGCTGTCTGAGGGGAAAGTGTGGCATTAGTTCATTTATAAAGGTGTTTGTTTAGCTACCTCTTGCAAATAGCAACTGCAAGAACTAAAGCTATAACTGTGCTGAAGTTGGGCAGGATCCCAGTTCTTTGGGCGGGGGAATAAAATGAAAAGCAAAGGTTCAAGATATTTTTGATGAGATAACTGACAATTGTGTTTACGTGTTTTTATTTTCCCACAAATTGTTATTTCAAAACAGAATAATACATTTATGATGTTTTTAGTTGGACTCTGTTCTGCTATTTAGAAGAGAACTAATAACACATATTGTTGTACCATGATAACACCACACCAGCTCTATCCAGCCAAGCAGCCTAGATTATTCAAGATGTCATATTTATTTATTTAAAAAAATACTTTGGCTGTTTATCAGGAAGTGACTTCAATGAGGAAGCACAGTAATTCAATTATCAAACACTCCTCTCTATCAACTAAATACACATGAGCTGAATGTAAGAAAAAATGTCTATTTACAATTACTCATCTTGTGTAGGTCATTATGGTGACATGGGGCCTGATCATCCTCTCTTGTAAACAGGGAGGCGGCTTTGTAGGGATTGTAGAGGGAAATGGAAAATTCCATGAACATCTATAAAGTGATCAGTCCATTGTGTGGGACAAGCCTTGGTTCTGCTCCCAGGGCTATCAGCTGGGAAGGGCTGTGCCTCCATATAGTCTTGGGCCCTTTGCCCCTTCTGCTCCTGGGAAGCCTGGGTCAGCTGAAGACAAACTATCAGGGAATCCTCAGGTTACTTTGGAGGGGATCAGCTATATGGAAAGAAAATGGAAGAGAAGGAAGGTGAGGGAGACAGGTCAGGGGAGAAGAGGGTAAGGAGGGGCAGGTGTGGAGTGAAATTGAGGTGAAAAGACTTGGGAGAGGGGAGAGGCGAGGGAGGGATTGGAGCACAGGGCCAAGAAAGACAGAACTTTGTACACATTTGATTGAAATGGCCAATTGTGGAAAAGGTCCCTGCTTTGGCTGCTTCTGGTCCAACTGGCTGGAATCTCTGGCTGGCTCCTGGTGCCCCCAGAGTGTGTGGGGTCCCTTCTGCAGAGTTTTGGCTGGGTGGAATGGTGCCCTGGCTGGGTCCCATATACTCCCACCCCACCAGTGCAGCAATCCCTGCTTTGGCTGCTACTGGCTGGAGTCTCTGGCTGGCTTCTCTCTGTGGTTTTCCCCAAGGCCACAGGTCTGGGCAGGGGGAGACACCACGTGGATCCTAGTGACCCCAGAGAAGGACATAGGGAGGAGGCTTCCTCTACACTGTTCTGGGTCCTGTGGTCTAGTTGTAATAGATACTCTAGAATGTTTTGAATAATAAGAACATGTCACATTTGTAGAATAATTTATATTCAAAGATATCAAAGTGCTTTACAAAGATGGGTAGGTGTCATTATGCCCATTTTACAGAAGTTTAAAGTAAGGAAACCTGGGACAGAGTCAGGAACAGCCATGTGCCTGCCTGGTCTTTAACCACCAGACTCTATTTTTAGTCTAACTCTGCAATCAAGGTCAGTACTCTCTGTCTCAGTGGAACGGTTTGTTGTTTAGTGATGTTTCAGAGATGTATGTGTGCATAGTGCAGAGCTATTTATAAAGTACTGCGGGATGTGAAAGATGCTGAAAGCATGTTTTATTTTATTTAGAAGAAGAATGCAACTGGTAGGTTAGTGTTAGTGCAGATCGAAATTTGTCCAATTTTATATATGTAACACAGAGTAAATATTACTATTTTTCCTCTCAGCCCTAGCTGGCATATATAACCATGATTCCTTTCTTTCAGCACATGCTCCAACCATGAACCATTCCTAGGGGAATGGTTCCTCAGGAATGTGTAAGCCAGAGCAAACATTGTGTTCTGGAAGGCAGCATCCTCTTCTTGTCACTGTAAACAAGAGGGGTTGAAATACCATAGTTGACTAAAAGGTTGTGCACCATATATTAGCTAAAATTCATGGAACAAAAGTGTTCAAGCTATATAACATGCATTTATCGCTTTAAGATTATTTTTTTTATATGGGGGAGGGACTCCCTGGAGAAGGGGTAAACAGACCCAGATCTGCCTATTTCAATATCAAGTGGTGTTAATTAAATACTTTAGTGGACGTACATTTAAGTGGGGACAATATACATTGTCTCTCCTGATGGGGAGTTGACAGTATCCATTGTCTCAAAGACAGTAAGTCCTTTGAAATGCAAGAATTTAGAGTGAGAGATTGCTTTGAAGTTTCATTAGCTCCCTTTTGCTTAAGCCCCAGATGGCAGACCTAACAGTTTTGATTGACACCTGTATTGTGACTGCATGTAGTGATTCTGCATTACAGGCACATGGTCATCGCAAAGGATATAATGTGTTTGAATAGAGCAGGGGTAGGCAACCTATGGCATGTGTGCCGAAGGTGGCACACGAGCTGATTTTCAGTGGCACTCACACTGCCTGGGTCCTGGCTACCGGTCTGGGGTGCTCTGCATTTTAATTTAATTTTAAATGAAGCTTCTTAAACATTTTAAAAACCTTATTTACTTTACATACAACAATAGTTTAGTTATATATTATAGACTTATAGAAAGAGACCTTCTAAAAACGTTAAATTGTATTACTGGCACGCGAAACCTTAAATTAGAGTGAATAAATGGAGACTCGGCACACCACTTCTGAAAGGTTGCCGACCCCTGGAATAGAGTTAAAAACATCTTCCCAGAGACATTTGGGAGATGGCTGAAGAGCAGTAATGGAGAAAGTGACTGGTCAGAGAGTGGTATTGAACTTAGAGGAGTTTGCTGGAGATAGAAAGGGCCATGTTACACATGTGAATTAGAGAGCTAGCCCCTCAAATCAGTTTAGCTTCATTATTTATGCCAGTTTACTCCGGCTGAGGATTTGGCCCATCAGCTGTATTTTGCTTTTGTCATCTAGTATCACTGTTCATGAGTATGCACAACTAAATGAGCCTATATAATATCCTGACTGGTTCAAGTCATTGCTCTCCCACACAGGAAAACTAGATTCACAGCTAATCAAATAATGGGGAACTAATTTTGCAAAAAAATGCAATTTGTTTCCATTTTGTAGGATTCAAATCAGAGCTTTCTTTCTTTCTTTCTTTCTTTGAATTTTGATTTTAATAATTTTGAAGTTGCATGTTTTTTCCCTTCTCCACCGCCCCATTTTTTGGCTATTGAATGCTATAAAAAATGATGCCCCAGGCTTCTTCCACTGTTACATTTTTTTCTTTTTTCTTTTGCTACATTGTACCTTTTCCAACTTTGGAAAAATTACAAAATGACAAAAGAAAAATGAAAAAGTAAAGGAAAAGCAAACATATCCCAGACATAATTCATTCTGCTGCACACAGTGGAACAAACAAGAAAACTGAATACCTGACATTTTAAATTTCTTAATTTTAATATTTTCAGTTTGAAAGAAAAAGAAGAAGTAGAAGAAGACTCCTTGAAGGTGCTTGGTTTTGAAAAATGGAAAAGTTTCATTAAAAAAAAAAGTTTTGAACATACAATTTCAGAGAGTTCTAGAAATAACCGACTCTGAGCATCTCAGGTGTCCTAAGCACTTGGAAATGGTATCATTCAGTAAAGAACTTAACAGTTAAAAAAAAAAGTTACAAGCATGTATTTCTTTGTGGGCAGTTTACTTACTGTGTTTCTACTACAGTGATATGAATGGACTTGATACTTTAATATTTTTTATATTACTCTTAGAGCCAGATCTTTCATGCACTGCCCAACCTCCCACTGATGGGTCTTTGGCTTGTGGAACGTTATCTTATCCTGGCAGTGGAATGAACAAATGGCAGTTTTGTGTACCATTCTGCATGAAGAGCACTGGTTTCCATCGGAGAGCAGGATTAGTGTTTTTCTGCCAGCCTTCTCAGTCTGGGACAAGTTGGTTTCATTTGGATGAAGCCTGGCAAATGACAAAGGCTCACATGCCAGAGACTTGCACAGGTGAGCAGGCTTGAAAATTTCAGTGGATTAGCTTTCTTAAAGACTCTTGCTGACTGAAAGCTTATTGATTTACACATTCAGCTGCTATTAGAGTTTGTCATGTTTGTATAAGACAATACGAAGATATGGATTCCAATTATGATATGAATTGAGAAAAGAATGCTTTGTTTCTCCATCTTCAACTAGAGTGTGTTGGTTCTCAGGGCAACATTCTGATGTCAGTTACAGAGGAGTGCAGTAGAGTAACAGTGGTGTACGTCTAGACTAACTAAAAGCAGAAGTTGACCTGAGAATTTATCCACTTTGCTTCTCCTGCAAAGTCTGATCATTATTAAGTGTGTGTGTATGCATAATGGGTTTTCTCTCTTTTTTGACCGCCTTCCTAAGAGGCTTGAAAATAAACTCTCTCACTACACATTTTGCCTGTTTCCTTTTAGCAAATCTTTACTTCTCCTTCCCTCCCCATGTTTCTAATAACACAAGCCATTATGGTTTAGTATTACCATGATTATTCACTAGCATCATGTATAGTTTCAGGAGTTGAACAGTCAAAAATAGTGTGTGTAGGTCCTACAAAATATAGTTATTTTTGTTGGTTATGGAGAACAGGTTTTAGAATTTGAAGGCAATTTCTCAGCATATTAATATTTTTAAGGTAGGACAACTGTCTGGCTAATACTAAATTGTTGAATAAAGATCCTTTAACTCTTGACTTAGAGGTCTTCCAAAATACTCCCTGAGACTTGCAAGCCTAATGCTATTCTCTCACCTCCCAATCACTACAGAAGGAAGATGTACCCCAGTGCTTGTCTACGCTTGGAAATTTACCAAAATAGCCATTCTGGAATAATTATTTAAAATTTTAATTTATAATTCCTAAATGGATTAAGTTAAATCAGGAAAGGGCAGTCTTATTCCAGAATAAGAGTGTTCACTTGTAGAGTTATACTAGAATAGCTATTTTGGTAAATTTCCCAGTGTAGACAAGCCCTTACTCTACTGTCCATTTTTATTGGATACCTTTCAAATAGAAATTGAAAGAGAACATAATTTCTTAAACAGATCCAAGAAGGACTCCAAGGAGGCACGAGAACCACATATTTAAGGAAACAGGGCCAGATGGAATAGCACCATAGAGTGCTGACTGCATTAGCTTCTGCAAAGGATGCAGCTCAGTCCCATACCGTCTCTGCACTAACTGGAAAAATTGCAGGAAATAAACTTTCCAAGGGTGGTGTCATAACTACTTAACCTGGGTTCTCCAGCGGACCTGCCTGAGGCACAATGCATTCTGGAACTCTTGCTTGACTGGTGCAGCTCTTTACTACCCCCAGTAGAGGCTTTCGTGGCTTTGGGAATCAAAATGAGGTATCTTGTTGGGGATTGGCGACATCACAGGCAGTTAATCTAATCTGCAGATGGATTAATTTTGAATGTCAAAACATAGTTTTATCATTTGAATGGGGCGTATAGATGGAGACAGGATCTAACAGAGGTATCCCCAGTCATCTGTCTATGGTAAGCAATTGCAGATGACACAGAAAGCATGGCCAGTTTCTTTCTGAAAGCTCAAACCAAAGTGTGGAGCAAGATCTTTTTTTGCATAGAGCAAACACTGAAAGTTTGTGATGTGTTACAGAAGTGGCAGTGTGTCACTCAGGTTGTATATTTGTTACTGTCAGGCTGTATGTGATAAACTGAAAACATGACAAATAGTTATTTTTTTATTTGAGCTAGAGTCTTACACAAGAAACCAAAATGACATTTTTACCCCTCATTCAAGTATTGAGCTGTATATTTATGCTTTTGATATATCCCTCATGCTGCTTTGTGTTGTGGCCTTGTGTTCAAGAGAAAAATTGGTAATGTGATACATTTGTGCTTGCCAGGACTCTACTCTCTATTATATGAAAACTGTTTAGCAGTTTTGTGCATCTTGGCACCATTTTGGGCATATCCTTATTAACTAACCTCATGTTATTTGAACTATTAACAGTCAGGCGTCGTACAGGGTCCAGAAAAGGAGATTCACTACAGTACTATGAGGGTGACTGCAATGAACAGGCCGTGAAAAAACACATCCTAGCAACTGTGGAACACATTGTAGCCAAAAATCCCTCTGTTGTTTCTCAGTGCACCAGGCACCCAAACACCTGTGGCAATTTCAGAATTTCAGATCTTTCTGTTCACTGTGGGCCTGGAAACAACCAAAGAGGTAACAAATTGTCTTTTCAGAACATTGTTAATGTCTCTGTGATGGGGTGGACAGTATTTTTTCTCCTACATGTTTTTTAATATGCTCCATAGTGTCTTCTCTCCCTCTGTGATAATTCATATTATGCAGTCATTTGCAATCAGCTGCAGCATAACATAATCTTAAAGCCATACATATTTCATGCTCTAATCTATCAGTAATGTGCACCATTAGCTCCCATCATTCTTGATGGGAGCTGGACATGCTTTTCTAGTTGCTTTGAACTACATCTCCTTAAGTCATCAAAATCATATATTTTAAAATATAACAGATGTATTGTAATGTACTACACACAGTACAGATATAACAGATGTATTGTAATGTACTCAACATGGGCTTTCAGAAAGTACTTCAGGTGAGCATGAGTTTACAGAAGTATGTAATGTGTCAAACAAAGTCCAATGCATCTCACAGAAGCTATGTGGAAATTATGAAGGATAGACAGCTGTAACTTGAATCCAAAATGTATTAGCTGAAATATATGATTCTGCAGAGGTCCTCAGGAGTGGGATGAATGAAAATGAGTACAGAATAAAGGTAGTCAAAGGGATCTGCCATACAAGTACTTCTGTAGGTGACGTTCGTTTGGGAACATGATGGCAAGGAGCCTTTTCTCTCGTTTTGTGGGTTGGGTAAAAGCAAGGTGGACAAACATCAAAAAGTTCTTTGTTTCATTGTAATTCAACCTCTTTGCTCTGGACGTTTGCTGTTAATTTTTGGTGCTGTTCATTTTAGTTGCAGTTCAGAGTGAAACGCTGATAGGATAGACCCTATCATGACGTTTTATTATTTGATACTTGCAGCTGAAGCCAAAAACTAGGCTGTGACCAGGGTCCTGGGGGTGGGGGCCACACTAAGATTGTTCAATCAGGACAAACTGCAAAGAATGGGGCAGACGATCCCCAAAACTGGAGGTTATTTCTAATAATTAGATTCAGCAAGCCAGCAACAAAACAGCTTCTACAATACCTTACTGGTTACCCAGAAGCCAAAAGCACAGTTCCCTTAAAACAACACAGCCTTGGGATCCTACCCAGACAGCGAAGTCAAATATGAGGAGGATTACTGAAAATCTTGTTCATCATATAAAAAGTTCTACCTATCCCAAAGGATCAGACACATTACCCATGAGGTCACTGATTATTTCAGATGTTACCCAAATACACGCTTATAGCCAATTCTTATTAACTAAACTAAAATTTATTAAAAAAGAAAAGAGAGTATTTGTTAAAAGGTCATTATACATACAGATATGAATAAAGTCCTTAGGTCAGTTTCATTGTAGAGATGGTGAGCTTCAGAGTTGCAAAAGGTTCTTTCAGAATCAGTTCCGTAGATCACAGTCCAATGTCCAATATCAGGGTGAGCCAGGCTGGATCTGGGGATCTCAGTCTTGTGACTCAAACTTCCCTTGATGAAGCTTAAACAGATCTGACATGCAGGATCAAGGCCCAAGAGTTCTTTTTATAAATCCCTGGCAGGCTATTGTCAGCCTCTTGACAGCAGGTGTTCCTTGGGTGAAGAATAGTGGCTTTGAAGTAACCTCCTATTTCCTAAGCATCACCGGTAATTAGCTATAGGGATTAGCATAAGGCAACTGCCCATCTCCCACCATTTACAGGTAGTTTACTACATACTTCAAAGAGAAATGAAGACAATGTTATTACTACACTCACAGTTCATCTAAATGTTAGCATCTCCTTTTGATCTCTGAATTGACAGAATACAGCGACATATAGGAACCGTTTGGTTACATTGTCAACCTCTAACAATATATATGTAAACACACAAAAAAACACAACTATTATCTACAAATATGTCTCTGAAGGTTGAATCTGGGTCAATTAGCCTGCTAGTTGTGTAACTGTTTCTGTGTTACCCTGTGTCACATAGGCCTAGCAAATTTATTTAACAATATATATATATATTGGACCTTTAAAAAAGGTCACATTTAGTTCACCTTCAAATCTGGGGGAAAGTTTTGGGGCTGCTATTTTTGGCTCTCTCTGCTTTTAAATGTTCAGATCTTTCAAGATTACTGAATTTGCTTCTTTATACTGCCATACAGTATCCTGTCTTTTTGCTATGCCATTAATGTCTGTGCCAAAAATCTGGATTTTTTGTATTTGTATTCTTTTGTTGCTATGTTTCCATTTTTGCTTTAAATGATTTTTTTTATTTCCCTGCAAGATTCCTGATTGAACTTTGTACTTCATTAAAGATTTCACATATTTCAAATAGAGCCCATTTTAATTAGCTTTTTAATTACAGCTGCAGCAAGCTGTTTACTAGAGATTCTTAGTCTAGTGAACAAGCCCCTGTGGAGCTATTTAGCCTTAGAAGAAAAGTGAAAAATAGCCATTTTTAAATCAGAATGGAAATATTTTGCCCACATCACACAATCCTATGGGAATTTTCTGAAATTCCAGTTTAAAGGATCCCCATTAGAGAAGAACTGTGCCCCAGAACATGGGGATATAGATTCTGGGGGAAGGCCAAGAGCGGTGTGGTGACTTGGCTAAATTCCAGTTGAGTAAGTGTATTCTATTCAACCCAAATTCTCCTGTAGTTTCAATTGGCTGAGACAATTTTCACATTCACATTCTGATTTGGCAGCAGTTTACACCACGTTTCACTCCCTTTGCACAGGTACACGTTACATAAGGTGCCAAAGGCAGTGCAGAACCAGGCCCTTTCCTGAGTCTGTGCTACACAATGGGCGGCATAGATGTCACTTTTCAAAGGCGGGTGAAGCATTTGTGTCCTAAAAGTATCCTGATATAAGTCTAACTTCTTTTATTTGTTAAGCTTTAAGAGCCATACTTTCAAAGATATTAAAGTGCTGAACCTAAATACCTTTGAACATCAAGCCCTAAGTCCTGGTGAAATTCTCCTCTCAGTTACACCCAGTGTGAAGCCCAATGACTTAAGTAAAGTTTAACTGGTGTAACTGAGAGACGAATTTAGCCCATTGTAAGTAAAATCAACACTCTTTGTTGAGAACTAATTATGGGCCCAGTCCTGGCACTACTGCTAAGCCTTGGCAAATCTCCCATTGACTTCCCTGGGATCCAGATCTGGTCCAAATGTCTTAAATACTATACAATGGCACGTATGCATTTGCATAAAGCGTATTGCAGTTCTGTTCAGTTAAGAAACATGCAGTTAAATAACCTTAGATCTGAGCAGCAGGGTTGTCTCATTGCATCTTATTGTGAAACACAGACTATCAATATTACTTTCTTATGCTTCTTAGCATTTGGAATAGCCAAAGTCTGATATCTATTATTATGTATATTGTTCTTTCCTCAGATACTGAACCACCTGTAGTGATCTCCTGTCCTCAGAACATTGAGATAGAAACCAAAAAAGGAAACCCCTACTGGAATGACTTGCCTGAATTGTCTTGGAAGGAGCCTGTGTTTGAAGACAACTCCAGGGGTCCACTGACAATCACAAAAGGAGGGTCCAATGTTAATAATGGAGACAAACTGGCATATGGCCAATATTCAGTGGAATATATAGCAACAGATCTTTCAGGAAACCAAGCCAAATGTTCCTTTGAGATCTCAGTGAAATGTATGTGTTTGGCTTATACTCAAGGTCAACAGAATGGAATATAATGATGTATTAATGCTAATTGTCCTGTGGCATTTGTTGTTTGATGATTAATACCATGTGGGGGTTAGGATATAAACTCTCACATTTTGTCTACATCTACAGGCCATTTATATGCAAGGGTGAAAACATGTATCCCCAAATGTCCCCTCTTACCCCCCCACCCAGCTCTTACAGCTTTGCTCTCTGTCCTCATATAGCACAGTATCTTTTCACTGAAGCCTATGTGTCAGCTCTGTGTAAAGAATTGCTTCCTTCAATGGCTCCAGGTACAGATCCTAACACAAGTTATAGGATTCAAACAAACCTGATACAATGAAATATGAGCCTGAGATGCAAAGTTTGGCTCCAGATTGAAAGTTGGGGCAGAGACAAGGCTTGAGGGGAAAGATCTGATATTCTGATTCAGGCTCCTCTCTGTTAAAAGAAATCATCTCCTGTAACCAGCATGTTTTCAGAAGTGGTCACTCACTCACTTTGTGTGCCACAGTTGTGTGGGGTATCCCACTTGAGACACCTGGTGCCTGATTTTCAGGGCTACTAAGAACCCACTTTCCACAGGGCACCCCAGGAGTGAGTCACACCAATTCACTGAACGCTTCTGAAAATTGTAGCTGTGTTCCTCCTGATGATTCCCTGTTCTGTTCATTCCCTCTGGGGCACCTGGCATTGGCCACTGTTGGAAGACAGGATACTGGGCTAGATGGACCTTTGGTCTGACCCAGTAGGGCCATTCTTATGTTCTTATGTCCCAAATACTATCTCCAGCTATAATGCTATAATGAATTGCTGAAGACTGTCTGAGTCTTACGCCCATGCAAGGGTTCAATCCCAAACTTTTCCTATGTTACACAAATAGGCACATAAGAATCAGTTTCCCTTTACATGCAGTAGGAGGCTATTCACATCATCCTGAAGATTTACCCAACAGTGACATTATTATCATGTATATGAATTTATAGTAATATTTGAAGAATTTCTGTCTAAGATTATGCGTAATTTGCTTTTTATTAAATGTAAGCAGTATCACTCATTATTAACTCAGTTTTTATTGTTGTCTTTTTTATGTATACACAAAGCAATTGCATGCACAATGGAATTGCCAGAGCATGGTGCTATAGTCTGTGGCTATCCTTCGGTGGACGGCATGGACCTCATGACCATTGACTGTATTGTACTGTGTCAAAGCAAATACCAGTTTAGCAGGGATCCATATCCCATATATGCATGCTCAGAGGAGGGACTTTGGTGGACCTTCACAAGCACATTCACGCCTATTGGCCCAAATTTGCCCAGTTTAAACCATAAGTGCCAAGGTAAGAAAGTTTAAATGAATGAAAAACTTTGTACCTAATTAAAAATTCTTATTTGCATGTTATATTTTCACCACTTTGATGAGCCTGATGGCATGTAAATTATATTTCAAGTATTCATTGAAAGTAATTTACCTTTTTTCTATAAACAACACTTGTCAGATTTCTCAAATCAGCACTGAATTAAACTGAGGTGGGTTGACTTCAGCTGCTTGATTTATTTTATTATAGATTTAAAATCTGCTGAGGCAGTATAAATATTTCACATTAATTATGTTGATGAAGATCTGTGTTCTGATTACCAACCCTGAGTCTTTATACAGAAAATGGAGACATATCAATGAGAGACCATACCACTCTCTAACCAGTGAGGGATTACAGGAATAAAGCACCATTGCTTTATTAACGGATGACTTTTCACAAGAACAGAACCTGAATATATGGGCTTTGCACAGGGACCTTTCTAGGGCTTGCATATTGGGCACAAGCAAACAATAAGCCTTTTAATGTGGCTAAATGTAAATGTATGAATTTATAAACAAAGAATGTAGGCCATACATAAGGGATGGGGGACTGTCCATGGAAACATGACTCTTAAAACGATTTGGGAGTCGTGGTGCATAATCACCTGAATGTGAGCTCCCAGTGCAATGGTGTGGCCAAAAGGGTGAACACGTAATGCTTGGATGCACGAACACAGGAATCTCGAGTAGGAGTAGCGGTCCCTTGTATCTTTGGAATATATGAATCGATATACATTTTTAGGGTCTTTTGGGGGCAGAGCTGTGTCTATCTTTGTGTTTGGAGAATGCCTCACTCATTCTGAATGCTATCACAGTATAAATAATTATAAGAACCCACTAGCCATCCATGTGGCTCATCTTTAGTTGCTTCTACAGTCCCAGGGTTACAGTAGTAACTATAGTCCATGCACTATCTTCATAGTGGCTTGTAGGAGGTGGCTGCATGAAGACTGCAGATGCATTGGTCATGACCATGCCCACTCCCCAGTTCTCTCCTGACTCATATTAGGCCAAGAGTGAGTGAACATGAAGCATTGTTCCAGCCAAGTCTGGAACAATTATCCAGCTACAGCTACAATTATCACCAGTCTGTGATACACATTTTTTTTTCAGTCTCTATCTTCAGCCTGCCATGCTCAAAATGCAGAAAATTGTTGGCATAATTTTGCTTGCATTCTTTCCTATTCATTTTATTTATTTTGGCCCTGATCCTGCAATAACTTATACATGTGCATAATGATGAGCATGAGAGTAATCCCAGTGGGTCAATTTATATACTTCAGATTAAAAATACATTTGTAAATCTTTGCAGGGTCCTTTTCCTAGGGGTTCATTCAAAACCCACTTAAAGCAATGTGAGCCTTAGTTCTTACCTTTAACCTTACCAATTAATTCTTTTATGATATTTGTTGTATTAAAAGTTCCAGATATATAAACATTAAAATCAAAACTATCCTCATAGCATTTGATACATGTAAGTTGAAAAGTAGGATGCTTTGCATCACTGAGGTGACTGGCTAGGTCAAAATTAATCCTGTGTTTTCTTTGCCTGTATCTTTAGAACCAGATATCCATAAAAAGCCAAAAGTTGTTGATCAGAATTTTTACTTTGATGGTGACTGCCATGACAGAGCAGTGCAAGACATGCTGATAGGACACTTGGAATATTTTCAGAGGAAAACTTCAGCATATCAGTACTGTGAATTAAACAGAGAGTTCTGCAGAAAGTGGAATGGTTACCGCAATGTAACGGTGTTCTGTGGAAGCACGTGAGATGGAATGACTGTATTGTTTGTTATGTTTTTTTTTAGAATGTATTTGCATGCATGTGTGAGAACTACATATTATCCAAGTATTCAGACTGTTCCTTGAAAGCAGTTTGTGCTGTAACCTTATTTCCTCTTATAAAATAAAATTAGGGTAAAAATATAATCACTATCGTTTTCTTTCTTCTTGAGCTTCCCTATTGTTGCTACTACTTGGGAAATTTGGCATTGTAAGTTACATACATGGACTGGTAGGCGACAGGATACTAGTGTGTTACATTTGGGGTTTTTGGGTGGTTTCCACTTTTTTGTTTTTTAATAATGTAAAACTGGTGAGGGCAATTTTGAAACCATATGTAGGAGTGTCATTATGGGGACATTTGTTAACACAAAGTTACACTAAGTTGTTTCAGAATAGAGTGGCTGCTATTAAAAAGTCAGGATTTGTCAATAATTATGCTCCTCAGAGCTATGTAAGATTATCAGTCTTTTTCCTCCTAGGTTTAGAATAGGAAATATCTACTAGAACTTTGTAATAAGGGCACACAAATATTGATTAGCAATAGAACTGGTTGAAAAGTAGAAACAATTTTCCATGAAAAATATAGAGGGATTTTTTTCTCCCCTATTCTTCATTCAAATTTATGACCAGCTCTGCTTGTTAATGGCCTCTATTGTATATTGTGAATTGGACTGTAAAATTATTTTACAGATAACAAGATCCCATCCAGAATTAAAATCTATCAATATTTATTTGTTGTCTTGGATTCAGCATCGGTAATATCACTACCTAGCAACTGCTATCTGTAGTTGCCTGAATTAGATAAACACATTGGGCCCGAGCCTTCACTGGCATAGCTTGCTCTCCCTATTAACTGAAATGGAGTTGTGTCATTTGTACCAGCTGATGATTTGGCCCAGGGAGTATAGCTATTTTTGCAGAAAAAGCTAGAAGACAAATGTAGTTTATTCATTAGGGCTCTGGAATGGAAGTCAGGAGAAAGTTCCTTGTTTGGCCATTAGCTTGCTGTGAAATGTTGGGTAAGTCACTTAAGTTGTCTATACCAGAAGTTCTCAACTGAGGGTCTGCTGCTCCCTGGGGGACTGTGAGCCTTTTGGGGGGGGGGTGCAGAGCCCCGCAGCTGAAACCCAGTGCCCTGAGCCCCAGCAACCCCCCTGTAGGTCTGAATCTGGGAGTGGTGTAGGGCTGAAGCTGAGAGCCCCAGTGTTCCTCCCGCCCGTAACAAAGCTGTGCAGGACTGAAGCCTTGATCCCTGGCGTTCCCTGCAGGCAGAAGCCCTGAGTCCATGGGAAGAGTTGGGGGGGCATAAGGGTGTTGCCCCCCAAACTGCAGTGCCTTACCCAGAGTGGAGCAGTCTGGGGGCAGCTCCAGCACCCCCACACTGCCTCCTTTCCCCCATCTCCCATCAGGCCCAGCGCTCTGGTCAGGTTGTAGGTGGGAAGCCAGAGCCAGGCAGTGTGGGGCAGCTGCTCCTCTGTCCTGGTGAAATCGCTCGCCGTGCTCGTCGCTCACTGCTCCGCAGTTCGGTGGAAAAGAATCTAGATGAGAGTGCAAAAAATGTATCTTTAGTGACATGTTGCAACCAAGGCTTTTGTATGCCTTGAGGAGGTTTTCCACCAACAACCTGTAGTTGTCTGCCTTGTTGTTTCCGAGAAAATTTATTGCCACTAACTGGAAGGCTTTCCATGCCGTCTTTTCCTTGCCACGCAGTGCATGGTCAAATGCATCATCTCGAAGAAGTTCACAAATCTGAGGACCAACAAAGACACCTTCCTTTATCTTAGCTTCACTTAAACTTGGAAATTTTCCATGGAGGTACTTGAAAGCTGCTTGTGTTTTGTCAATGGCCTTGACAAAGTTCTTCATCAGACCCAGCTTGATGTGTAAGGGTGGTAACAAAATCTTCCTTGATTCAACAAGTGGTGGATGCTGAACACTTTTCCTCCCAGGCTCCAATGACTGTCGGAGTGGCCAATCTTTCTTGATGTAGTGGGAATCTCTTGCACGACTATCCCATTCACAGAGAAAACAGCAGTACTTTGTGTATCCAGTCTGCAGACCAAGCAAGAGAGCAACAACCTTCAAATCGCCACAAAGCTGCCACTGATGTTGGTCATAGTTTATGCACCTCAAAAGTTGTTTCATGTTGTCATAGGTTTCCTTCATATGGACTGCATGACCAACTGGAATTGATGGCAAAACATTGCCATTATTCAGTAAAACAGCTTTAAGACTCATCTTCGATGAATCAATGAACAGTCTCCACTCATCTGGATCGTGAACGATGTTGGGGGCTGCCATCACACCATTGATGTTGTTGCAGGCTACAAGATCACCTTCCATGAAGAAGAATGGGACAAGATCCTTTTGATGGTCACGGAACATGGAAACCCTAACATCACCTGCAGGAGAGTCTGCTGCTGTAGTCTGGAGCCCAACAGCTCTGCCTTACTCTTGGGTAGTTCCAAATCCCTGACAAGGTCATTCAGTTCACCTTGTGTTATGAGGTATGGTTCAGAGGAGGAGGATGGGAGAAAATGTGGGTCCTGTGACATTCATGGTTCAGGACCAGAAGTTTCATCCTCTTCCTCTTTCTCGTCTGACTCAAGTGAGAATGATTCTGGTGCATCAGGAACCGGCAGTCCTTCTCCGTGGGGTACTGGGCCTATAGCTGATCGAATGTTTGGATAATGCAGTCCACTTTTTCTTCTTTGACACACCTTTCCCAACTGGAGGCACCATGCAGAAGTAACAATTGCTGGTATGATCTGTTGGCTCTCTCCAAATCATTGGCACTGCAAAAGGCATAGATTTCCTTTTCCTGTTCAACCACTGGCGAAGATTTGTTGCACAAGTGTTGCAGCATATGTGTGGGGCCCACCTCTTGTCCTGATCTCCAAAATAAAGGTGATAGGCTTTCTTAACCATAGTGGTTATACTGCGCTTTTGTGATGCAAAAGTCACTTCACCACAAACATAGCAGAAGTTATCTGCACTGTTCACACAAGTACGAGGCATCTCTGCTCACTTTGGCTAAACAGAAATGTGTCCCTTTGCAAAATCAAACACTGACAAATAAGAGAGCACGACACTGTATGATATAGGGCAATTTGTTCAGCAGAGTGATGTAAGCTTCGTTATGATTGCATCGTCCATGACTTCTAGGAATAACATGATGCAATTCATATCATGTATGATGCAATACCAGCTTCAGATTGCATCATTCATTGTTTTGCCTAAAAAGCAAGTACTGTCCAAACCCAGTCATAGATTTATTCATAGATCCAGTCAAAGATGTATTTTAGTCATTTCTGGTTTAAATTGAGATCCCTTCCCTTTATAACTCACTTATCCTCCGCCATTCCCAAGTCAAGGGTCGTATATACTGACCCAATAGCATATCTTGAAAACTAGAGCCAATCAACAATTTTAAGCATCATTTTCATTCTCAGTGACCCAGAATTAGTAAAGTTTGACTACATTTATTTCAGAAGCATTTTGGCTGTAGAGCAGTGTTACAGTGAGAATGTCAGCTTCAACGGTGAATTGCCTGGTTTATTGATTTTTTTGGTCTCTGTTGTCAGTTCAGTATTTCATGAGGTTTTTGGTCTTAACTTTCTAGGAACTGAATGGTGTGAGTATCACCTGTCATGAGAGTGAAAATACTTGCAGTATAAATAGCAGTATCACATAGGACCCTTTGTAAACTAACTTCTGGGATAAAGAAATACAGATTTAGAGCTAAGTACTGCATTGCAAGATTACACACCCTTCAATGGATGTCTCAAGACAGTTAGAAAGACCAACACTATTTAATTTTTGCAGAAGATAAATTCCTCCAGATGCGTATGAACTCCCATGAGCTATTTAATCAGATGCTGCTTACAGGCCAAATCCTCCAAGGTGCTGATACCTCTTGAAGTATTGTGCACCTTCAGTTCATCTGGAAACGAAATATTTGGATTCTAGGTGTGGTTTATGCAGGAGCGGCGCCAGGGTTTTTGGCACCCTAGGTGGGGGTCCTTCCGCGCTCCTGGTCGTCGTTGTCAATTCTGCGGTGGGGGGGTCCTTCCGCGCTCCCGGTCTTCGGGGCACTTCGGCGGTGCGTCCCGGAGCGAGTGAAGGACCCGCCGCAGAATTGCCGCCAAAGACCCGGAGCATGGAAGGACCCCCCCGCTGCCGAATTGTCACCAAAGGCGGCAAAATGCCGCCCCCCCAAATCCTGGTGCCCTAGGCGACCGCCTAGGTCGCCTAAATGGAAGCACCGGCCCTGGGTTTATGGCTATGTTCAGAAAGAGATGAGTTGAAACACAATGTTACAGGGCACTATAGACTCTACCTTATAGATTGATCACTCCCATTTGTGAGAGACTGGCACACAGGTGCTGTCATGCCGTATCAGAACTGTGGTCCATTTAGTTCAAGATACTGCTTACATTAGTTTTTTTATGACCACCCCAACATATTGAACAGATTTTTTTTTCCATTGTGGTGTCCTCAATGTTGCCCACGTCTTTCCTCTTTAATGTTTACAGTCAATTTAAAACTCAGAAATCTGTATGCATAGTTCAAATTATTCCTTTCCCACATGCATTACCTGGCATTTGTAAACACCAAGGGTCATCTGCCATCATGTTGCCATTCTTTGTTTGAGCTATCTGGAATTCCTCATTGTCTTCTCTAGTCAAAACAATTGTTGGGGTTCTCAACCTTTTTCTTGCTCCCAGTTGAGAACTGCTGTGCTATGTCACTGTTCACCCACTTTTAATCACCAGCAACCCCTAGTATGGCCGATCCAGTAGATACTACTATGTTGAAAATTAACAATTTATTCCTACTCTTTGTTTGGTCTCTTATTGCAAATTTCTAATCCATGACAGCACTTTAGCCTTTTGTGAGTGATATTTTCAAAGGCTTTCTGAAAGCTCAAATAAATATTTACTTGTTTTTCCTTTATCTAATTCTTTGTTGACTGACGTAAATATATCTATTAGATAGAAAAGGGTTGGTTTGCCTTTCAAGAAATTGTACTGAGTGTTGCCTATCATATCCTATTCAGCCAAGTGTTTTAAGGTTCTGGCCAATTAACTGGTACCAAAGTAAAATACGCATACTAGTCTGTAATTCCCAGGAACCCTTCTAGCACTTTACCCTCCAGTCTCTGGTACCATAGCTGATTTTAATACGAGTTTGAATATTTTTGATCAGTTCAGTCTCTTTATTCTTAAATTCCTTCAGAACTCTTGGACGGACTTCATCCAGGCCTGGCAACTTGCCATTGTTTAATTTGTCAATTAATCTCAGCTCCTGCTTTTTTCATCCCTGAATCTTTAACCCTTCTATGTTTTTAAGTAGATGAAAAAGAGTAGCTGTGTCTTAGGTATTTCCCCACCATCCTCTGTTCTGAAGACTATTATGCAGAAAGCTTCTTTGCAACAACTTTATCCCCTTTAACTGATCCCTCAGGAGGGGTGATGAACACGCTGATTCTTTGGCATGCGCTCCGTTTACAACCTATGTAAACAATGGCTTGGTATTTATTTTACTATCTGTGGCTAATTGCTCTTTCAATTCCCCATTAGCCAACCTAATTTCCATCTTAGATTTTGTAAGCCATAATTCCCGTTCCTTTCATTGACTTGTGTGCTCGTATTAATACCTGTTCCGGGAAACAATTGTTGAAGATGTCAAGAAATTGCTTCTCTGATATTATAGTTGACTGCTTTATATGCAGGTAGTTGATGTTAACTACTATCACTGCTATAAGCTCCAATTCAGCAAGGTACTTAACCATGTGAATGGTCACACAGGGATAGAGCGTCAGTTGGTATAATTTGTCATAGCAGCATTGTTGACTTCAAGGGAACCAGCTGTGGAACTGCTTAATTTACTTCAAAGGACTACGCCCATGCTTAAAGTTAACCACGTGCTTTAGTACCTTGATGAACTGGAGTCTTTTAAGTTGCTTCTTTGATCACTCTTATCACTTATCTACGCAAAAGAATAAATGGACACAAATCAGACGTCAAGAATTATAACATTCAAAAATCAGTCAGAGAACACTTCAACCTCCCTGGTCACTCAATTACAGATCTAAAAGTCACAATTCTCCAACAAAAAAACGTCAAAAATAGACTCTAACGAGAAACTGCAGAATTGGAATTAATTTGCAAACTGGACACCATTAAATTAGGCTTGAATAAAGACTGGGAGTGGATGGGTCATTACACAAAGTAAAAACTATTTCCCCATGCTATTTTTTCCCCTACTGTAATTCACACCTTCTTGTCAACTGTTGGAAATGGGCCATCCTGATTATTGCTGCAAAAGGTTTTTTTCTCCTGCTGATAATAGCCCACCTTAATTGATTAGTCTCGTTATATTTGGTATGGCAACACCCATTTTTTCATGTTCTCTCTGTGTGTGTGTGTGTATATATATATATATATATATATATATCTTCCTACTGTATTTTCCACTCATGCATCCGATGAAGTGGGTTCTAGCCCACGAAAGCTTATGCCCAAAGAAATTTGTTAGTCTCTAAGGTGCCACAAGGCCTCCTCATTCTTTTTTGCTGATACAGACTAACACGGCTACCACTCTGAAACCTCTTATCACTGTGCAATTGATACCCCTTTCCTAAAATTTTGGCTTAAATATTTTAACATACCTGATATTTCTTGTGTGCTATGGCACATGCCTCATCTTTGTCTAAAACAACTGTGTCACAGACTGCCTTAGTCTATTTTATTTATCAAAAAATGCTAAGGCCTTTGCTCTTCAACTGACAAAAATTAAATAAGTTGTCAAAGGGAAACTATTTCACATTAGTTCAGCAATGTTGTACTGTCAGGCATCTCTTCAAACAGAAGCCAGATGTTCTTTAGAGTTCAAAGCCCATAATTTATCATAATTAAAACATATCTGGGTTATTATGTGATCATCAATCATAGCTGCAAAACACATTTCCCAGCTGTTTTTCTACTCATTTGCTTACAGAATATGCTGCAAAAATAAACAAGTATTTTACAGCACGGTGAGATTTGCTATTGCAGTGTTAGTGCAACAGTAAAGTTGTTAGGCAGATTCACAGATGGCCCTGGGCTCTGCAGATGCATTATGTTTGTGGAGAACTCTATGGCTTGATGTGAAATAGGCTAAGTTTACTGAGCCCTTTTGCTCTCATAGGTATCCATGGAAAAGGCGCTCCAGACGAATAATATTAGCAATTGACTATTTATATAAGGGATTTAACCAAAGGCAGATTCAGAAGTAAGGGTGACAAGAAGACAGCCATTAATAGTGCAGCTATAGGAAACTTGTGAATTGAAATCACTGAGTCTGTCACTCCAGCAGGGTTCCAGTGCAGGAGAATCTGCCTGTATGGCATCAGAAGCTATAGGAGACCGTAATCTGCAGAACATTAAAAAATACTCCAGCCTTATTCAGTGCTATTAACAATTTTATACCTATTTCCCTAGATTCAGATTACTTTTCATACCTAGTTAGGAGGGAGTAAAAAGCCTGAGCATTTGCTCACCTTTATCACTATTGTAATAAATAGAAACCATGACTTTTATAGGTAAAACCTCTAAGAAATGAATAAGCATAATAATGTTTTATTGATCAGAAAATTAATACTTTGTTTGTCAACAATTAAAATGAATGTTTCTTAGGAACAGAGTGAAAATAAGACCAAAAATAATTTCACATTTTTTCATTTTGTTCTTACTTTATAAGCAATAAATACACTGCTATAGTCCATTAATCTTATTTACATTGTACAATAGTTTTGAATGTTGCTTGATTTCTAGCATGACTCTTTTATGACATGAAATGGTAACATAGGAGGATATACGTTAGCATGTGTTCGGCCAAATACTCTAATAGATCATAACATTGAAAAATAATGAATGACAAAACAATTAGTAAATTAACATTTTAAAAAATGGAATCAAGTGAGCACCCAGCAGTGAGCATGACCTAACTTCTTTGTGGCATTTTATTAACTGACAGCAGTAGCATAAAAATAGACAGTCTCTCTCATTTGAAGTACTATCCATAAACATATAAAACTAACATCTTAGTATTACAGATGCCAAATACAAAATGAGATCCTAAACAAGACAAGTAGTCCCCCAAGCCTCTTCGAGACTGCAAATCTTCACTGAATAACATACTAACAGCAAACTACAGTTACTATGAAATGCTTGCCTGCTAAAAAGAACGCTTAAAAAAACCCCATAACTGTCTGTATTCCTTCAGAGCACAGATAGTAACTACACCAGTATTTGTCCCAAACACAGTACAAAGTATGTACAAAAAAGACCGTGTGAGAAATCAGCGTAAGGATTTAATTCAAATTTATTCTGATAAAGGAGCATTTAGACCATGTTCTTGGCTCCCTGGGTATGTGAGAGGGGTATTGTAAGAAGAGGGTGTAGGGAACTTATTCTCTAATACAACAGCCATACGCAAGAAGGTCTACCTCATGCTTAGGGACAAAATGTAGCTACCACACCATTTGGCACACCATGGCCACAAAGGATTGTTTCTCACCTGCCCTTGATGGGGCTGCATGCTGTTTCTTTTCTAAGAGAATGCATGGCACTACATTGGGCCTGTCACCCTGAGCTGTTAGGACGGCTCTTGTACCAGAAGCTGTGAACCTCATTCTTCCCCCCACCTTCCCAATCCACAGCTCCCTAATGGAGCTACGAGCAGCCAATACTCCCCTCTGCTAAGAAGTAAAAACCCCAGTAAAATCAGTAGAGCTGCATCATCTAACGGGAACATTAGGCCCTTAGAATTTAACCCTTCGAGATTACATTGGCTGCCCTTTATGGGTTAATCATGTTAGTCTGGCCAGGTACTTTTGAATTACACAGCTGGTCAAACTGTATAAAATGCTTTAAGTCTGTAATGTCTGCTTGGAAGACACATGGACAATATGGGCCAGATCCTCCACTGGTGTAAGCCAGTGTAGCTTCCTTGACTTCAAGAGAGCCATATGATTTACAGCAGCTCTGGCTCTGGTCCCATGCATGAAAGTCTGCTGGGGGTTTCAGCCAGAGTAAATTTTTTTAAATTGTTGTTCAAGCAACTTGGTCAGTAAGGACATTTGTAAGCAGCTGGCATTCACACAATGACACTGTGACATCTGATTTCTGGCACTGGTACAAGCACAGCTTCTGAGTGACCCTCAAACATTTTTTTGTCAGACTATCCACTATCAGCACAGACCTCTTGATCTGGGCAACTGAGATTCTAGCTTATTATGATTAATATTAATCCACCGACTAAAGGCTTTTCTTCTACATTAAATCACCAGCCAATAGAAGGTTTAAACGTATACATAAAGTTGCAAACGGCTGTGATGAAGACAAAAACTATTCACATTCTTATGAAATCTCAAACTGAAAAGCCTTATGATGGCTGGCTAATTAGCTGTCTATTGAAGTCTGTTAGAAGACTAATGACATATCACCCTTAAAGGCTAAAACTGAATTTTTCATATTCACTAATAAGCCTTTAAAACTGAGGTGTTCTGAAAAAGTATTTTTTAAGCCTCTGGTGTTGGTTCTAATGAATCAGAAATACTTTTGCATGCAATATTCTACCATCCACGGTACTAGGTTTTTCATCCATTTCTGTTTATTTCACTTTATTCAGCCTTAAAAAATACTTTTGAATAAGACTTTTTGAGAACTAAAGTAACCTCTTATCATGTGTCCCCCCCTTTTGATTTTTCTTCCTTTGTATTGAAAATACACTATTTGTTTAAAACATAAAACATTTAAAAACACACTGTCTTTAAAGACATATTTTTCTTAAGACCTTAACAGATTCAAGCCTTATACAATCAATCACCACAAAATAATACTGAATTTCCCAAACAAGGCACTTCAGAAAGGCTCCAAAGGATTTTCATAATAGATTTGATAAGTTTTCCAAAAACCACTAGAAAATGCCCCAAGCCACCTTTTCTTATTACTTTAGGCTAGGCTAAAGAAGCTGGCTCTACGATAATATTTATTTGCATGCCATCCAATCTTGTATGCCTTTCTCAGCCAAAACTCCCACTGTATAAATGGGATTTGTTTTGCCTGATTGATAAACTAAGGAGCCAGGTATCAGGCATGTGGCAAGGAAAATATTTTTTTTACCTGTATGCAATCTTGCTCTAAGTCAGCAATCCTGCTTGACTTTTACAAACAACTTAAGCACTAGTTTAAGTTCCATCAAAGTCAAAGACAAAGATGGGCTCATCAGCTTTTCCAGATCAGGATCTCACTGGTCCTGCTCCCATTAAAGTCAATAAGGAACTTCCATTTATGTCATTAGTGGCAGGATCAGGCTGTCTGTATACTAAAATAATTAAAAACATCTTGTAAAATTTTACATTGCAGAATAGAAGCAGCTGGGGTTTCATACCTCAGATTTCGGGCGTTGGCATCTGGATGCCTTTACAATATGCCTGGTTTAAAATAGTGGCAAAAAATGAGCCAGATACATATCAACATCTCAGACTCGACTGTCTTCAACAGTCTGTCTTTCCTGACAGAGTTCAATCTTAACCACTTATTTAGGTTGTGTGTACTGGCTGAATTTAGCAAATATATTATGATTACGACAGTATTTACAAGATGAGTTCTTGCAGGTAAATGAAATGGCTTTCAATACAACACAGTCTTTACACAAACTTTCAAGAAAATAAGAAATCCTTCATTGATTCCCTGCATACAAAATAATTGCCAACTTGGTCTACACAGTAGAAACAGAAGAGGCAAAGTCTGGTTCTTTATATATGTACTTATATCTATGTATGAACATATATGTGCATATGTATATACACATGAGAAATGCATTGTCTTAAGTTTGCATCATTCAGGAAAAACATGTCCCAAGTGAGGTAAAAATCTTCTGGCCACGAAGTCATTAACTCAAACTTCAAGTTCATGAGCTATGAGGACTAGAATGCGGGCAATACAGCATTTCTGCAGTCAACCATACAGCTTTTCAGCTTTTAAAACAATATTATCCATGTCATGGTAGCTTTTCCCATTTAAATGTTCATTCGTGAAATCGTGATTGAAGCTGTAGCCCTGAACATCACTGATGGATGATACCGTGTAGGAAGCTGTGCGCATAGTATCTGAGTGAGTGAAGCTGTGGTCAAATTGGATTCTGTACTGATTCCAGTGCCTTCTCAAAACAGCTTGGACCTATTCCATGAAAAGAAGAGGGAAAAAATGTGTATAAATTACCTGGAAAGATGCCTTATGTGCTGGCCTTAAAAATTAGTATACAGCATGAAAATCATGGGCTATTATGAAAGAAATACAAATTGAATTAGGCTATATTTTTGGTAAACCTGGACTAATATCATTATATATACATTTTTAATACATTCAGTGCTCATGAAAGATTTTGGATTTATAGCTCCAGAGAGTAGGCTATTCTATACCATGGGCCACAGAAGTTTTCACACACTGCCTCAACCCTAATGTGGTTAGCCAATGGTTATCTGTATTCATGATTAATGTGGTGAGATCCTCAGCAACATCAGTTGATATAACTCCATTGAAGTCCAATTTACACCAGCTGAGGGTCTGGTCCAACAAGTCTTCTCTTATTTGTGATCAAGCCTTCATAAAACTAATGACAAGGTAGTGTCAGCACATGTTCTTAGCCTGGTTAAAAATAAATTTAATAGAATAGCCAAAGAACACAGCAGCATCAGTCTGTTTACATGCTTCATTGTGAGAATGTTATGTATTTCATTGGTTTCCTCTAATACAATATGGCAAAACACCTGTGCAACAGGAAGACTGGATTTACTAAAGTGCTGTGTTAATGAAATTCACATGGAATTAGTTTTTGAGGGAACGAGGCCAAGTTAGGAGTGATCAGAATGCTGGAACAGCTGCTGGTAGGAAAATCAAATTTATGGAAAGTCTTAATTTATGTTTTTGCTCAGACTTAAGCATCAGGGATTATGTATTAGTCCTACCACTTAACTATATTATGGACCAAAGTGAACATTCACTTTGTAGTTACAGGAGAGATCGAGTTTTAGCCCTATGGATCTGAATTCCTTCTCATCTACAGCCTAGTTTCCTTTTTTACACAAGCAAAATACCGGGTGCCTAAGTGCTAAGTTGTGTCAGAGTTATTTGCAGCTGTTAACAATGGGCACTAAAAAGGATACCACATGTTAAAGATCTGGTCCTATCTGATTAGCATTTAATGTAATGGCAATAGCTTAATTATTCATTTCCTTTTGGCCAAAATTTTCAAACTAATACTTATGGGTTCCCAACTTGTGATGAGCCTGCTTTTCATAAAATACTGAGGTGAAGTGGTCTTGACACAGGACCCACGTGTCTCAAGTTAGCACTCAAATCACCAGCCACATGGGAAAATTTTGCCCTTCATTTTTATGTTGTCAGATTTACTGATGTACATCCATTTGGAATATAAACCAACATTTGCAGATGGATCAGTGTCTGTTAACAAATTATTATTATGGGGCAACATCTTCCATTCAGCTTTCCTTATGTCTTGAGGTTTTCGTTTGTTTAGTTTACATTTTCTAACACAATGGCTTATTTTGTCTAATTTCTCTCCGGCTTTAATTATGATAAATAAATACAAATAGAACAGTGCAGACACAACAGTTAGACTTCCTGTCGTCTGCTATCAAAACCTCAGTTAAAAAGAGTTTCATATTCCCCAGTATGCCAGCAAATAAAATATACTTTGGGGAGAGGAGAATTATTGAAAAAGTTAAGAAGAAAGCTAGTATTTTTCTTCTTCCATCTGGGACACCATCTACTGTATGAGAATCCATTATAATCCATTTTAGTCACCGTGCTCTTGCTACACAAAAGATCAGATATTCTTCTCAGTCTGTGTATGCAGTTCCAGTTCATGTCAAAGGGAATTCCACACATGGATTAAGGTTGGTGTGCAGCCTTAATTTTTTGCAGTGGTGAACCCACTTCAATCAGGTGGAGCTATGAGGCAGAAGAATGTTCCCTTCTGAGAGGGAAGCTTTAGAATGCATTTTATAATCCATACAAAACGTAGCTGCTCAGAGCCATCACTCTGACCATGCCACCCCACACTTTGAATATTTCTACTGGCTTCCTGTTTTCCACCAGGCATTATATATACTTATAAATAAGAGAGAAAACCACAACACTGGGTTGATTTGAAGCAAAGAGTTGCACATCTCCCTTAACTATGCAGATACAGACTAAGACGATGGGAAAGAGAAATTGTTATTATTCCCATTTACTGATAGGCACAGAGAAACTGAGTGACTTGCTCAAATTCACCCAGGAATTCTATGGCAGAGCTAGGAATTGATCCAGAATGGATAATCTTAGTTCTGGACTAGTGTCTTACTCACAAGACCATCAGTACCCTCATCCTCTTTTCCACCCTGTTTGTCACACTTCTTGAATCTTCTCTTCAATTAGATTGTAAACTTTTTGGGGCAGGAACTAAGTTTGTAACATCTTTGACACTATTGCAATACAAATCAATAATATTTTTTAAGAACAAAGCAGTCAATTTAGTGTTATGTATTGCCTACAATCATTGCTTATATTTTGTATTTCAATATGGCTCTCTCACTTTCTCTTTTATCTTCTTCTCCCTCCCCACACCTCCAGGCTCCAACATATTCTCATGGTATTTCTTTCTACACAAAGCCAAGTCTTTTTAATCTCTCATGCAATAACCCCTCCGTTACTGTTAAATGAACATCTCACTACCAGTCTATTCTTGTAATTCTCTTGTTTACTTATCCATTATTTCTGGCTTTCCTGCAGTCTCATCTAACATGTCTAATCCAACACCTAGGAACTGCACAGCAGATGGCTAATCAATGCAGCAGCAAAGTTTTGCCCCAGATTATGCTCCTTTAACCAATGATACATACAGAGTGGTCAAAGGACTTTATCATCCTTTTCTCAGCTTTGAACAATTCTAAATAGTTTTAGCAGACAGTGGGCTCGCTCTCTTACATGCAAATAACACAGTCAAAAACACCCTAAAATAAGCTCATATTGCAAAGTATATATAGTCATGGCCATAGTTCCTGGTCACTAATACATGTGCCCTGTCTGGCTGTATGGCTCTTGCTTTTCTCCCTAGTTTAAAGATGTCCCTCTGTGCTGGCTGTTGGGGCAATGCTCATGCCAGTCTCCTGTTCAACTGAATATGCCCTAACCAAACCAGTGGTTTAATCCAAAATTCACTGAAATCAATAGGAATCTTTCCACTGACTTCAATGAGGTCTGTATCAGGCCCACTGAAGCTTGGGCTGCTCCAAACACCCACTGTGATTGCAGACCATGCTATGCTCTATGTTAGAGCATGTATCTGAGTGTCTGGTATAGCGGTTTTCTGCTGGTAAAGTGATGCTATTGTCCATGGCAGTTGGGAAACCCCGGCATATGGATAAAGAAAAGATATTGCTTCCCAACAATTCTTATACCTCAGTCTTTACTGTAAAGACTTTTCCATTGTCCAAAGGAATGGAAAAACCACGTGCCATTAATAATAAAGAAATTCGGAGCAGATGCAGATTCCTTATTCACTGTTATTCCATATAGCTACACAAACTGCACGTGCATGTTGCCACTTCTCTAGGATGCCTAGCATTCTGCAAATTATAATGAGGTGTTGCTATGCCAAATGATGTTAAAGGGACATATCGTAGATAAGACATATCAAGTTAAAGACTGTTATAACAGAGGCCCTTAAGGAGAGAAGGTTATGAGTTATGTCTGCAGAATGTCATGTCTGCAGCAGAATCTAGTAAGAGACCAAGAGAACATTCGTTGAGTGCAGATTTTTGTATGATTTGTCAATCCCCCCTTGATCTGTTATACCTTACTATACTATCCTTTTTATAGAAGATTTAATGAAATTATAGCTGAAAAAAAGTAGAATAGTGCCACTGGAAGACCTAAAGACGATAGGAAACAATGTTTAAAACATAAGATTCTGCACAATGCGATGTAAATGGACAAAGATCAGCTAAGATTAAAGATTGTGGGCCAGATGCCAAGATGATTTATGGCCCTTTTATGTGATTCAGGTGATGCTAAGTGGCTGTAATCTGTCCACAAATGCCCAGCAGAAAATTCCCTTGTTTGAGGGGAACTCCCTGCTAGTACATCTGCTTGTAGAGGCACGGCAGGGCTAAGCTTTGTTACACTCATCCTCCAGCAACATAAGGCCCATTAAGGATGCTAAATTAGTGGTATAACTGACAGCTGCCCAACTCCCTGACACTGAACAGAGCTCTGGCTCAGGAGAGAATACGGCCAAAGAATAGATTGTAAATTCATAATATTGGAACCCTAATAGACTAAATAATTGATTACTAATGCTAATAGAGCAAGTTTTAAATTTAAAATCACAAATAGATTTGATTTTGTTCTGCAGTGGAATGGAAACATCGTTAAGAGGTGCACATAAATTAAAAATAATTATAGCTGATCAAAGGACAGAAATTCCATTTTGCATCCATTTTGTTCTTGTTTCACAGTAGAACAAAACTAAAACCATTCAAATGTTTGCACAAAAATGTAATTCTGTCAAATTATCCATTTGCAGATCAAAACCTGAGCTTTTCAATTGAGGAGGGCGGGAGAGGGGCAGTGATTATGGCACAATGATGTGGGAGGTGATCCAATCAGATTCAGAATCATCTGTGATGAAAAACTCTGCTCTGAAACAGGCAGAAGAGCAGGGACTTGAACTATGGTCTACCACATCCCAGGGCAGTGCGTTAATGACAAGACTACCAACTATGAGCGTGTCTCTCACTCCCCAACAGGGATTTCCTCAAAACTGATATGTGTCTGCAAAATGTTTCAGATTCAGCAAAACAGCATATTTTGGCACAACATAATTTGGTCAAAAATGTTCTGACCAGCTCCAAAAATAATGGAGAGAGTAACTTATCCAAACCATAAGAAACTTGCAATTCAAGTTTTGCTTAGTCCAGATTTTGGGTGTGCATTTGAGTCAATTCGTCTCTATTAGTCAAATGATTTATCTGTCTCTCACACATTCTTAAAATGCCTAATAAAAATACAAGGGCAGTCAATTAATCACAGTTAACTCACGTGATTAACTCAAAAAAATTAATCATGATTTAAAAAAATAATCGCGATTAATCGCAGTTTCAATCGCACTGTTAAACAATGCTAATTAAAATGTATTAAATATTTTGGATGTTTTTCTACATTTTCATATATACTGTATTCTGTGTTGCAATGGAAATCAAAGTGTATATTATTTTTGATTACAAATATTTGCACTGTAAAAATTATAAACAAAAGAAATAGTATTTTTCAATTCACTTCGTACAAGTACTTTATGCAATCTCTTTGTCGTGAAAGTGCAACTTACAAATGTTGATTTTTTTTACATAACTACACTCAAAAACAAAACAATGTAAAACTTCAGAGCCTGCAAGTCCACTCAGTCCTACTTCTTGTTCAGCCAAGCGCTAAGACAAACAAGTTTGTTTACATTTACAGGAGCTAGTGCTGCCCTCTTCTTATTTACAATGTCACCAGAAAGTGAGAACAGGCATTTGCATGGCACTTTTGTAACCGGCATTGCAAGGTATTTACGAGCCAGATATACTAAACATTCTTATGCCCCTTCATGCTTTGGCCACCATTCCAGAGGACATGCTTCCATGCTGATGACGCTCATTAAAAAAATAATGTGTTAATTTAATTTGTGACTGAACTCCTTAGGGGAGAATTGTATGTCCCCTGCTCTGTTTTACCCACATTCTGCCATATATTTCATGTTGTAGAAGCCTCGGATGATGACCCAGCACATTTTGTTCATTTTAAGAACACTTTCACAGCAGGCTTGACAAAACGCAAAGAAGGTACCAATGTGAGATTTTTAAAGATAGCTACAGCACTCAACCCAAGATTTAAGAATCTGAAATGCCTTCCAAAATCTAAGAGGGACGAGGTGTGGAGCATGTTTTCAGAAGTCTTAAAAGAGCAACACTCCGATGCGGAAACTACAGAACCCCAACAACCAAAAAAGAAAATCAACCTTCTGCTGCTGGCATCTGACTCAAGATAATGAAAAGGAACATACGTCAATCTGCACTGCTGTGGATTGTTATCAAGCAAACCTGTCATCAGCATGGATGCATGTCACCTGGAATGGTGGTTGAAGCATGAAGGGACATATGAATCTTTAGCGCATCCGGCATGTAAATTTCTTGCGACACTGGGTACAACAGTGCCACGAGAATGCCTGTTTTCAATTTCAGGTGACATTGTAAACAAGAAGCGAGCAGCATTATCTCCTGCAAATGTAAACAAACTTGTTTATCTGAGCGATTGGCTGAACAAGAAGTAGGACTGAGTGGACTTGTAGGCTCTAAAATTTTACATTGTTTTATTTTTGAATGCAGTTTTTTGTACATAATTCTACATTTGTAAGTTCAACTTTCATGATAAAGAGATTATACTACAGTACTTTATTAGGTGAATTGAAAAATACTATTTTGTTTAGTTTTTTACAGTGCACATACTTGTAATCAAAAATAAATATAAAGTGAGCACTGTATACTTTGCATTCTGTGTTGTAATTGAAATCAATATATTTGAAAATGTAGAAAACATCCAAAAATATTTAAATAAATGGTATTCCATTATTGTTTAACAGTGCAATTAATTGTGATCAATTTTTTTAATTGCTTGACAGCCCTAAAAAATACCTAAAGGCCCAATCCTACAAACTCTTACTCCCACACATCTGCTTACTCACATATACTGTAATTGAACTATGTGTGGGAATAAGCAGTTGTGTAGAAATAGGTACCAGCTGGATCAGTAACTGTCTCCCTGATACAACTATGGGAAAAATACCAAATTGCTTTATATTGCTAGTGAAAACAAAACTGATGGCAAAGCACCATTAACTTCTATGATGCAGGGTCAGGGCCTTAGCCCACTGAAGATTTAGGGAACAGTCCTTTGACTTCAGAAGGAGCAAGTATGTGCCCTCAGTAGCACAGTTGCCAACTTTCACGCGGTAAATAAGCACCCTATCTTTCACAATAAGCCAAGAATCAAGCTAATCCCATTTCAAAACAAGGCCAAAACAAGCCAATCCCCAAGAACCCCAATACTCTATGTGACTAGATCCCCCCGAGTGTGCAGTCTGGGATGGTGGCGGGCCCACTGTGCACCCCTGACTCTCTCCTCCCCTTTCCCCTGCTTGCCCTGAACCGATCAAAAAAAGAAGCAACAAGCTACAACAAGCAACAAGCTACAGACCAAAAACTAGCTAACAAGCAACTCACAAGCCAATTAACCCAAAAACCAGCCAATTAAGCCAAAAACAAATGTTTGCGGAGTTTTTTTGCAGGTTTGGCATGCCTGCGCTGTAGTCACCTGAAGGGCAGGATTTGGACTCCCAGAAGAATGGAGGTCCAACTGAAGCAAGGAAAACTTTTTGATGGCCCAAATATACAAAGTTTACAAAGCCTTGGCCTTGAATATTTTTTCCACTTGTGCTGAAAAGGCCGATTGCAAAACGTAAGCCCAGAGTTCTGCCCCCCAAAATGAAAAATCTGAAACACCATCAAAAGAGATGACCTTTTACCTCCATTTCATACAGTGAAGTTAGTATTCATGAAAGGTATTACATTAAGAGTCCCAGGGATGGAGACCTCGACCTAATTACAGAGCAGTTATTTCCTAGAAAGCAACAGTACAATTTTTCCAGTTCTGTCCCACAAGTGTGCCTCATTCCTGACCTCGAAGGACCAATTCAAGGCCTTGCTGGGGGTAAGGCTGACACAATGATGACAGTTTGGTAGCTTCTTGGATGAGAATACATGTCCACTAGGAATTTATGATTTTATTCTTCAGTACTGATTTTTTTCCCCCACATAGCACTGCTGTTATTTATATATGGCTACCAACCTGCAAAGTGCTGTGTGCCGTTAATTACTTCTGACATAAAGGGAATTTTAGGCTGCTCAACACCTAATAGGTTTAAACCCTTAAGAATGGCATGAAATATTTTAGAGGCAACACTCAAGTCTAAATTCAGGTCTTGCTAGGTAAGTTATTCTCGAATACTTTATCGCTAACATTCTTACTTATTTTAAAAGGTAGAAGTGTAAATTTAAATTACTATTTACAATTTTACATTTGTTATTGGGATCACAAATAGCAGGAGGTGGATTTTAAAAAAAACACCAAAACAATTTCCTTTAACCCTAAGCCAAAATTAAGAAAGTGAAAAGAACAGGAAATAAATTGAAATCAGTTACTGTACCTCTCCATTAAAAAAGCAGAAAATTGTAGCCACCAACAGACCCTGCAAAATAAAAAGTTTTCTCTTGATTTTTTCAATACATACAGATTTATTTAAATACAAGAATATATCTATATCTATCTATGTAGATATAGATATATATACACACAAACACACCTAATAAAACTCAGATCTAGAGAGCAGAGGGAAAAAATGCATTTCAAATCTAAACTCAGTGGATTATTACTAATAATACAGATGGTCTATTGGGCCAGCACTCTAGCATGACATTTTATTCCTTTTAAAGGATTAATCTAAACGAAATGAGAAATATAAGGCTATTAATAAGCAGAAGTTTTTTTTATAAAGATCTAAAAAAGGATTAGAAATTAATTAATTTGCCTTTGTCATTCATTTATTTGCAGTCATATTGCAAGTACTGTCTAGCTCAAGGGAATAAGTGCTATTTAAAGCTTCTTACTTGATAATGTGTAAGGATATGCATCACGTAGTCATATACTTCTTCAGCAATACGGCCTTCTGGTCGCCATGGAATCAGCACAAATTCAATGCCAAGAAGTGGCACTAGAATGAGTGTAGCTCTCACAGCTTTCATGTATAGATTGGATTCTGCCTGGTGTGTGACTTTGAGCTTGGTTATCAGAACTCGAACAATATTCAACAGGAAAAAAAGATTCACCTGTAAGAAAGAAAATTGCTTTTGTAATAGTCTAATAAAATAGACTACAATTATTTTGTACTGAATACTGAAAGCAAGGAAAACATGTACATGTTACTAAAGAAAACTCAGACTATATGTTATTTCATTAGACATGTATTCATTATAACAAAATGTAGCATCTGAAACATCCTCTGTCTGGGTCGGATCTATACTTTGCACTTGGGGATTAATTCTTCTCATGACAACTTCCTCCTTGTGATTCTATATACATAATCATATATGCAATATATGCATAATTTTTTAAAGCTTGTACTTGTATAACAAGACAGGAACTCACCCCCAAAGAGACGTGTAGTCTAGCAGCCTGATCCTGCATTCCTTGCATTTTCAAAATTCCCATTAACATCGGTGGGAATTTTTGGTGCCCAAGAAATGCAGGATCAGGATGTTAATCTGAATGGGTGAAATCGTGGACCTGCTGAAGTGAATGGAAATTTTACTATTGACTTCAAAGGGGCCAGTATTTCACCCAAATTTATTGGACCAATCTTAGATGCTGGATTATGAAGACAGTAGACTATATCATGGTATGTAAAATAATAGCTACAGCAGCTTCCATCCAAGGTTTTCAAACCACTTCCTAGACATTAATAAATAAATCCTCACAACATACTCATGCAACAGAAAAGTATTGTAATCCCTATTTTACAAATTGGGAACTGACACACAGAGGGCTTGATTTAATGGAAGGTCTTGATCCAGGGTCAGCTGAAGGTGATTAATTTCATCAGTTTCTAAAGGCTTGTCTACACAGTGCACTGGTGTACACCAGTGGGATGTTAATTCTAGTGCACACTGGCATGTCATACACTCACTGGCCCACAGGGTCCCTGTTGGCATGCAGTAAAAGTTTCCTAGTGTACAACATGCTTGTGCACACTAGAATTTATACCTCAGGTGGTGCACACTAATTTATTTAGCATTTGCATATTCTCTGAGCAAAGCAATAGCATTCTTAGCAGCCAAGTGGGGTTCTCAGAGCCCACCACTAAATTTGGTTAGTGGGCATACCTCGATAATGTGTGTCATTGTTTGATCTGCGCCAAAGATCCCAACGGTGCTGGGTGGCTGCGCAGAGGCCTTACCCATTCCGGAATTGGTTAAGAAGGGCCCACAGATGACATGGCAGGTCGAAACTGGGTGGGTGAGCAGAAGGATCTGTTAAGAAGAACTTATTGGTGGTTGATATTAAGCACCAATGTTCCCACCACACGGACTCCGCTGTCACATTCTGGCATGGCAGCCTCAACCACAGTGGATGTTGTGATGGAAGACGTGTAACTGGTGAGCAAAAAGGCAAGGGCAAGTGTGGGTTGGCATGTACCTTCTCAAGAAGCTTGCCTGCTGCAATCTCCGTCCTGATATAAGGGAGCAATGTGGCTCAGAACTGGAAGCCATAGAAGATGAGTCGGTCGGAGAGTTCCTGTGATGATGCACATTGTTGAATTGAGTTGCACATCAACAAGTTTGATGTATGCTGACTGACTCCATACTGGCACTCCATTCTGCTCTTGAGTGCGAGATGGCAAGGGCTGAGTCCTTAGGGTTGGAGCATCCACTCCCCATGAAGAACCTGCCAGTTTGCTGAGAAGGTTGTGGCCTGTCTTGACCTTTGCTGCTATCATGCTCAGCTGGGTTTTATATGTCGGTGTTTGGTCGTGGGTCATGCCTAAGTAAACTGATTACGCTTCATGCTTCAGCCTCTGGCCATTCATTGTGATGTTTAATTCCCTCTTAGTGTTGGCATGGTGGAGGTGAAATGTTCTAGAGACTGTCTTGCTGGTGCTAGGCTGAAGACGTCATGTCTTGAATTAGTCGGCCAGCTTTGCAGCTTCGCCACTCAGGGTATTCTCCAGCTCATAGAAAGTGTAAGCCTGTAGCCCGCAGCAGATATTGTCTGCATAGATGACTGGGTTGGTGGCAGGTCACTGATGTATAGATTGAACAAGGTGGGGGCTAGAACAGACCCTTGGGGTAACCCGCTCATCTGTTTTTATCAAAGCACTTGTTTTCTCACCATCATGCACGCTGAACCGTCTATCTTAGAATAGCAGTTTGATGGCATCAGTAACCCATGGTTGGAGGACTCTTCATATTTTAACAAGTAGACCTGTGTGCCACGTATGCTGCAGTGAGGTCAAGGAAAATAGCACCCATTTTCAGATTTCTTTGAAAACTATTTTCGATTAATGTGGTTAGTGCAAGTACTTAGTTGCATGTGCTTCGACTTTATTGAAAGCCTACTTCCTCGACATTAAAAATATTCTCCATCTCTGGTGTTATTCACTGTAAAATGAGGCACTCTAGAACCTTGAGAAACACAGAAAGCAGCAATATCGGGTGGTAGCTTGAGGCCGGGTTTGGGTCTTTACCAGGTTTTGGGAGGCCGATGACTTTTGACATGTGCCAGATTTTTGGCAGTCTTTTGGCAGTCTTCCTTCATTGGTGACCCATGTGAAGAATTGAGCAAGCCAAGAATGGGGGCATGGGCCAAGATGTTTCAGGAACTCTGTAAGGATGTTGTCTTAGCCGGCAGTGGTGCCAGACTTGATGTTATGTAGCACTCTGTCCAGCTCTGGATTTGTGCTGCCTGTGGAAGATCTTCCACTCGCTCTGGACTTGACTCTTCATTTCTTTTTCCAGAGGTGTCTTTCCTGTGTGAAGCAGATGATTGGCTATTTGGTTAGTACTCACAGATGATCGGCTTGGTGTCAGTGGTTGCTAGGCTACTCCAAAGTAACAAAGTAAACTCCAGCATTTCTGGCTGGAATGTGTACAGTCCAGGTTCTTGGTCTTGATCTTTTCCTTCCCTCTGGCTCAGTGAGCACAGCTCAAAGTTTCAATTAAGTTGTTGGCCAGGTCTGGGTCACCAGTTGACTCATACTGCTTGAGCAGAGCGGCGTACTCCTACATACTTCAGTCCACATCCAGCATCATGCTAAATCTTGCAGAATTTTCCACACAGCCTGCACAGACCATTAGTGATCCATATTGATCTTCAGCTACCAATTCTCATGAGTACAGAGAAGCAGCAGCGGAACATGCGCAAAGCCATCTGCACAGTAATGCACCATGTAGACAAACCCAGAGTGAATTGCCCAAAGTTACACAGGAAGTCAGAGGCAGAGTTGGAAATAGAACCGATAGCTCCTAATGCACAGTCCTGTGCCATAGCTACAAAATCATCCTGCCCCTCTAGTTTTGTAGCAGAGTGAAGCCTGTCTAGGTGGATCTTCTACTTGTGTCTAAGTGCAGTTCTCTAGAAAGGTGCCAACTCATTTCCAGATAAGGCCATGTACTCTTTTTGCTTTACCCAAGTGAGTGGGACTGCTGACATGGGTAAAGTGAGCACTGTGGACAGGAGCTAAGAGTAAAATGTAGATAACAAATTTTGCTATGCCAGCAGCAAAGACAAGTGAAATAAAAAGCTTTTTGGACATTTGTGGAAATAAAAAAATCACTGATGCAGTTGTTAGCCTGCCACTCCGAATGCGAACACTTTATGAGGCATTCATTGCTCTCAGAAATCAATCACAAAATACACAGGGATAGAAAAACAGCTATAAAATTATTACTCGCCTTTTTAGCATACAGATACATACAATTTTAAAATTGACATTTTCATTGTTCCCAGAGGTCAGCAGCCTTTTGTTATAGCAAAGTCAAAGAGAAAGCCTTTTGAGTCAACAGATTTTGTATTACAGTTTAACTAAAACTGCACCCCTGTTATCTAGAGCTGATCAAAAATCTTCGATCAAAACTTTTTTCAACATAAAATGTATGGAAATTTTCAAGAAAAAATTCCATTTTTCATCAAAAATGTTTGGGTTTTCATTGAGTACCCTCCCCCATCCAAAAATTGATTCCCCTCTCCCCTAGTTTTCATCAATCAAAAAAGCCAAAAACTGGGGGAAAATTCTGTTGTCAGTTTTGATTTTTCAATGAGAATCCAAAACATTTGAAAGAAAAATTTGGACAAATGATTTTTTTAAATTTTAGTCAAAACTTTTTAAAAGAAAAAAAAAAGTGTTTCTTGACCATTTTTACATTAGACCCATGGGATATGCTGTTATAACTTAAAGGCATAGACAAAGTGACAAATACTCAGATTATTCAGTAGTACTGTAAATTAAATGACATTTCTATTAGCTACAATGGTCTGATGGTACTCTCCATGTTATTTTACCATATAGAACAAAGTGATAAGAGCATATTTTAGGAATTTGGACCAGATTTTCAAAGGCATTTAGATGCCTAACTCCCACAGATCTCCCATTGACCTTTGAGGATTTGGGCCTTTGCTTCATTGTTAAGGAGTGATCCCAAAAAGTAATGAGCAACCATAAATTTTGCTGAAGTCAATGAGAATTTGGGTTCCTCTTTACCTCTCCCAGTAAAACCTTTTCTTGCTAATATTTCAATATGTTTCAAAGTGAATGAACAAACCACTTGTGGTCTAGTTTACAAGCATGTGCCCTAAATCTAATTAAAAACAATAAGTGTGCAAATAAACCATTAGAAGATGCAAGTGTGACAAATATATAACTGTTTATTATTGTTGTTTATTTATTTGTGGTAGTGTCACAGACATGGAAGATGAGATGGTTCCTTCCCTGAAGAGCTCACAGTATAAGCACAGCCAGGTAGACAAATAAACGAGGTCAGAGAAGAGGATAAAACTGACAACTTTGCATTGAATTTTCATGTATCATTGTATAATGGCAGCAGTTGTCTAATCTCAGACATGTGGTAAGGGGCAGAGGTAATGACTCTTCTTCCTGCCTATGGGATAAGTCCTTTTAAAGACAGCAATACCTCTGGCTGAGGGCATTTGCCTCCAAACAGTAGCCTCATTGGCCAAACCATTGATTAACTTCCCTTGTATAAAGTTGTTTAGGGACAAAAGGAGCTTTCCAATCTTAGTTCTCTAAATTGGTATTTTTTCCCCCTGAAGAAGA